GGCAGGGAGGCAGGCAGGTAGGCAGGCAGGGAAGGAGGGAGGCAGGCAGGGAGGCCGGCCGCAGCGAGTGGCCTGCTGAGGAGCTGCCGACCTCACCTCCTGCAGGCACGGCAAAATTGGTTTCACCGATACTTTACAGAAGTTCTTTCTCGACGTTGTTATCTCTGTCCCCTCTAAATGCAAATGTTCTCAGCAAAACCGCAGCAACTGAGAGAGCACTTATTTCTGAAGCACTTGGATTTCATCCTCCGTCTTCTCCCAATGCGTCCTGAGCTCTCTGCCCCTCCCAGTTTCTCTGCACCTTGCGTCCTTCTCCCGGAGCCCCACAACCCTCGGTGCACTCGCACAGCCCTCAGCCTCCCCCAGAGCTGGCCGGGGCTGAAGGGGAACGGAAGCTTCAGAGCTTTTTCTTACAGGCACCAGCAAACGATTTTTAGGGCGCTGTCCTTCTCGAAAGACAGCAGTCCTGGTATGTTACTCATGAAAGCACAGAGTATTTCTAAAACAAAATAATCACTGTCCTCTAATGAAATTTATTACAAGTTCAGTTCGCAATAGCAGCCTACCAAGAACCAGCAGAACGCTCTCAGCCAAACGCCATTTCTCAATTTTGTAACCTGAATTCTTAAGGGGTAGCAGTGTAATTCCCAGAAGCAACTCCCATCACCATTTCTCTGAAGACCAAAAAGCCAGAACCACAAGTATTCAGATTGCGGCAAACGGCGGCGAATCTGCTGTGCGCTCCACACCACAAGAGCTAGAGGATATAGATACAAGAGTGAGAAACAGCACAAAACGGAACCCCTCCTTCTCACACCCCCGAAGCACCACTCTCAGCAGCAGCTCCTAAAAACGCATCACATAGTGTTGTCTTTGGAAAACAACATTTTCAGCTCGAAACCAAGAAGGACAGAGACAGCACACTTCCTTCTTCATCCGGCCCCATTCTCACCGTGCTTTGGAGAAAAGGTGGGAAGGGAAAAGAGAAAAAAGTAAATGGCTGCAATGAAATGTAACGAATTGTGTGTTGTCAGTCCGGCAGATCTGGTAAGCAGCATCACTCACACACGGTATCTTTTTTTTAGAAAACACTAGGATTTACCATAAAATATTTTAAAAAGCAGTGTTAATGTTGTACTCGCTGTCAAGAAATGGAGGCGCTAAGTTGATAAATTACCCCCTCAACTACATCATAAGATTTTAAATGTTTAATGTGCATGTCTTAGAAATAATTAATTCACAACATACTAGAATTTGAAGGATGTGAATTTCTTCATTGTATATGATCACAGTAGTAAGTGAAGTACTCAGTAGCTGAAGTACAAACCTCAGTATGCTTAAGTGACTTATGCTTCATTTTTAAGGCAAGGATAGGTAACAACACGATTGCATACAGTTGCAAAAATATTTACAGATATGATTACATAATCAGTCCATGTCTAGCATGAAAATTTTAACAATGTACTTAATATAGCAGTGTTTTATTTGAAAAGTTACCGTTAAAAATGTAAAATTAATCTAGCTAGGATGAGTAGCACTGACATTTTTACCTGGCGCTCCACACTCACTGATCTTTGTCCCTAAACCGCTATCACTGTAAGCTGTCCTCCCTCCCTGCCCATTTCCAGTCTTATTACACAGGTGCAGCCCCAGTGTCCACAGAGGAAAAAGCTGGAATGCTAAAAATGTATGCAAAAGGTGAGCTTTGCTCAGTCATCCTTGTCTTTTGCTCCGTGTTTCAGGATGCGTGTGAATTCAATGTAGTTGAAATTCCCCTTTTTGTCGATGGGTGCCTCTCTGTACAGCTCATCCACCTCTTCGTCTGTGAACCTGTCTCCCATCGTCGTCAGCAGCTCTCGCAAGTAGTCTTCTTGGATGAACCCTAGAACGAGACATACAGAGAGAAACACAAAAGCGAATCCATTTCTTCGCTGAGTCTTCAAAAGCAGCAAGTCAGACACACCAACAGACCTACAATTAACCAATACAGCATGTAATATATGCATTTGCACCAAGAGCCCCAAATACCTTCTTAATTGGATTCTAAAGAAATTCCTTGAATGCAACGGGGAAGGGGGGGAAGTCTGTTGCATTTCATACAGATTTTTGCAAAGAGGGCCTGATCTGCTGTGGTCTAGTAACACCTATTTCCATCTACTCATCTTCAATAGCTCAAAGTGGAAAGACAAGGTCCTGTCACTGCTAGTCTTCATTACACAAGCTGTTCTCTTAATTGAATTATATTTTTCTTGACTGAATTAGATATATTTGCACATCCTCTATAAACTAGTTTCCTCTGGGGACTAAATAACCACTGGTCGGCTCTTCACTGCTGCACAATACTGTTGCTGGAGGCGGTTTACGTAGATACAGTGAACTGCTGGCAAGCATCCAAGGAAAAAGACTTTATAACACAAAAGACTTTCAGGCAAGACTGAGCAAGTTAACTCAAGAGGGAGGAAGCATGTTTACTGTGGAGAGGTAAAGGCAGAGAAGCTAGTCCAAAAAAGGTAGGATGTATTATTTATTTTATGCTAAAATTTTAGCAGAAGATTTTGGATGAAATCAACAAAGGTATAGAAACGAGCAGTTGCTAAGTATCTTCTGTTCATTCAGTTTGAATAGATGGGCAGAACCCCCAGTTGCCAAATAATTCCAGGAAAGTTTAGAGATTAAAAAAGGAGTGCACACGACAAATAGTAGACGTAAGATTGCAGAAACTGCCTAAAGCTGAAATAAGACCTACCATGCCTTTAAATGCACAACAGTTGCTTCATTTGAGAAAGAACTTGGTTATTGAAATTTAGTTGGAGAAATATCAATAACAGAACAGAGGAGGAGGCAGAAGTATGTTCCCAAAAAAAAAAGTATGTAAACTGTGCAGAACAGCTGGAAATCATATGTAGACACCCACATCAACTGATGTAGATTCAATTAAAATGTGATTAAAAAAAAAAAGTTCTGCTTTGCAAAGAGAGTTGAATAACTTAAGTGAACAGTTCATCAGAGAGACAAAACCAAACAGCGAATCGGGGGACCAAAAGGCAGTCAATGAGCATGAAAAATTAGCATAGGGTTGGTGTATGCTGCGGGGAACAGAAAAAACCCAGTGTTGCAACATGTGGTAATTAAAACAGCATCACATCCCAGAGTTAGAGAAGCCCTTGACTACTGACTCCAAATGCAGAAAGCCAAGAGCAATGTTCTACTTTAAAAATGGGGAGAACGTTCAGTTAGCCAGGCCCATCTTATTTGGGCCAAATTTTGGAGCTGTCTCTTTTTGCAGATGTGCGTAAAGCAGGGGAAAAAACCAGCTAAACAGCTCAGGCTCTCTATTTCTGCAGTCCTACAGAGACCAAGCAGTGGTGAGAGATGACATAAGGATCGGTATTCAAAGAATGCAAGGCCTTTGGTGCTGCAAGTTTAGCCTCAAAGACTTCATTGCTCCTGTCTGAACAGCCCGGTGTTCAAACACTGAACTAGGTCGCCAGACTAGGAACACACTGAAAGTTTTAGAAGCGCAGCGTTGCAAATGGTGCTCCCACTCTCCTCCACACACAGCTTCAGTGGAGATGGGGAGCAACAAATTACTGAAACAAAATTCAAGATTCCGCCTGTGGCAGACAGCACAAAACAGATGACAAGGCAGGATCAAAGAGCAGACAAAAGACAGACCAAATGCAGACAGACATAACTTTTATACTTGTTTCGTAGTACTATATATGACAGTAATGCTGAAGCAATATACCCAACTGGATTGGTAATATAGGAAATGTAAGCAAAAACCAAGAAGTACAACTACCTTCTCCTCATCAAGAGGTTCTGGTCTGTATTACTCTCTTTCAAAAGAACTACATTGATGTAGAGTTAGAAAAATCAGGCCCATAACACACATGCATGTGGAGATTATTTAGTGAAAAAAAAGCAAAATAAAAAGGGTTGACATAGCTGGAAATGCTTTTGTTCGTTTTTAACAGGAACAAACTGATCAGAAGCCAAATCTGAGAATAAAATCAATAAAAGGCAAAAATAACAAGGGTTCTACAAATACATTCCATGTTATTTTGAAGACTGCATTTTGACTATCACGAATTAAAAATCAATAAAACAGCATAAATACTTAACACGTTTCCTGGTTAAAATCTGAGGATGGTGTAAGACACAAAAGACACTGTAGAGCCATTATCCTCAAATCATCCTAGGCCTAGACTAAAACATTTACCACACAGAGTTGAAAGATAATAAAATCAATCTTATCAGTACATGGGGGCCTGAACTAGTAACTTATTGTTTACATAGACGTAGAGGGTTACTGCTCAAAAGAACTGGCAGCACAATCATTTTCTTTATATCCTAAATCACAGGCTCTTGTTTTGGAGCACACAAAAAAAACCCTGCAGCACAGTGAGTCAGACTACCTGTGGAGAGAAAATAATTAACCTAGTAACAAAACTTCCTTCTCTAGGAGATGGTAAAGTGATTTCCCTTGAGAGAGAGGAAGTCAATTAACATTTGAAAAGACCTTACAAACAAAGGTGCTAAAAATACACAGACTGAAAATAGCCGTTTGAAATGGAATAATATCCTTTGAAAGGTTCAGAGCACATATCCACAGGTTAGAGTGAAATATTGTGGTGGACAACTGTGAGGAAAGTTATAGGTGCAGTGACATCTCCAGTACAGAGACTACATAATTTCGGCACACACTATTATGACATGTTCACAACATGTCCAAGCGCTGATATTCTCTAATTCCTCAGAATTGCCCTAAGGATTCATCCTCCACTGCTACACACTGCTCTGGACTCTTAGCCTACACGAATAAATAAATAAAAGCATAAACTCTAACCTCGAGATTACAGGCACAACCTTTAAAGTCTGATATAGTAAAACTGAGTTCCGCATTTTCCACTTTCCCCTCACCTTGCTACGCAAGTTAGTCCAATCTGTCATTTCTGCCTTCCAGACCCCACCCAGTTTTTATCTCTAGATCATGCAGGCTACAGCCCTTCCTGCAGCCTGAAAGCAAACTGAGCTGTGGGTCAGAGCATGACACACAGCATTTGTCATCACAGCCGTAACATATGGTAGGCAAGATGAGGGTTCAAAAGAGTTTATGTAGTCTGGACAGTCTGTCTTGAAATATTAAAAACATCGAAGAATTCAGATGCATCTCAGCTCTACTGCAGGGGGAGGACAAGCTCAGTTGTATTACAGATTTCACATCCGTTACCTTTTCAATGCCACATAAAATCACATATAACTAATTGGAATTCCTCATCTTCTTCGAGCAAATGCATCTTATGTTGCACTTTGAGGAACACACATGCTGCCCAGATAGAACAGTCTTCTTCAAAGCCTCACAGAAGAACATTACTACTAGTCCTCAGTACTCACACAGAACAGCCAGACAGTTTATACTCTCACTTAGGAATAAGCCAAACTCTCACTACTTGGTAGAATATGCCATCTAGAAGGATGAATGTGTTGTACCTCATTTATAAACGTGCAAAATTCAGAATACTATTTAGAACCCCAAATAAAAAACATAACAGTACCTTCCTGCCCCCCGACAAGCAGCTGAGTTTCACCCACATACCTGTTGCTTCTTCATCAAAGCAAGCAAAAGCATTCCTGATTACGTCTTCCGGATCAGTGCCATTTAACTTCTCACCAAACATTGTGAGGAACATTGTGAAGTTTATCGGCCCTGGAGCCTCATTCATCATGGCATCCAGGTATTCATCCGTTGGATTCTTTCCTACAAATAAAGGGATTCATCTTTGGTTTAGTGTTCAAACCAAAAGTAATCTGAATAGCATAATACAACCTGAGATGCCTCTCAAAAGCTGTCCCAAACTCAGTATTTTAACTACAACAGCACAAATTTGCTTGGCAACCACAGACAGAAAAGTGCCATTACCAAGGGAGGCGAGCATGTCGTGCAAGTCCTCTTTGTCAATGAAGCCGTCCCTGTTCTGGTCGATCATGTTGAAGGCCTCCTTGAACTCCTGAATCTGCGACTGATCAAACATTGCAAATACATTGGAAGTGGCGCGCTGCGGGCGCTTCTTGGTGGTCTTCGTCTTTGCCTTTTTACTAGACATGTTGCTTTTTGGACACTAGGGAGAGAAGTAAATACTGTAAATACAGTAAGATCAGAGTTAGGACTTAAAAAAAAAGCTGTATTACGGTTTAAAGTTCACAGACAGAGAACACTTCCAACACCCTTCCACTTCCTCTTGTTGGAACATACGTCCCTAATCAAGAACGGAAAAAGAGAAGCAGAAAATATGAACACATGACAGACAGACTCCTAAACAATAAAAAGTCACTAAAAGTAGACATAAGTTAAACTTAAAATTCAGTGTTCAAATGGACAGCTTTTGTCTGGGAGCTCTTCTTGACAGATCCATCTGAAATAAGGGAACTCGGACTGGTCTTGAGTCTAAAGAGGCAAAGTGAGGTTTTGAGCACTGTCATTAAGCCCATGAAAGAACTCTGTACGGACATGGATATACCGTAACTGTGTGTAACTGTGTGCAGCGTCAGGTATAGGGGAAGGAGAAAGAGAACTCAGTACACCTGAACACACCTATACTTCACACCTGACAGCCATAAGCAGCTGCTGTTTTTTAACAATGACCCGTCTCTGCCCTTCCCCCCCCCTGCCATTATTTAAAACACCCTGAAATTAAAGAGAACCGTGCAAACTGTACTTCTGCTCACGCTGGCAAGCGCTGCCTGACCTCCCTTTACTTCTACCCATTTAATTTTACCTGAAATACACCACAGGTCTGGCCAGGTACATCAAGCGAAGCAGGGGGAGCGCTGCGGGGTTGGGTGGATGAGGGAAGCACCACAGGCAGCCCCTCTCAGCTTTAACCACAGAAGGCTGGGGCTTGAAGGCAACCCGGCAGCCACCGGGTTTTAAGATACATATATATTTAAAAAGAAGGATTATTTTTTATCGTTTGGCCCAGGAAGGCCCCCTCAATCTCGCCGATGGTTGAGGCCGAGGCCCC